CCCGCTGACCACCATCTCAAGGGCATCAATGCCAATTCAGAAAAAGGAAAGGAATGTATGGAGTTCCAGTCGGTGAAGGCTCAATGGCAGGGCATGCAAGTGGTAAGTTGCAATTGACTTCGCATATTGCCGTGACGCAAAGGCCTGCAGACAGATTGACCGACTTGCCTGACCGACTGTACCGACCACGAAGCCCATGTCTCATGGATGTGTGGAGTGCAGATGCAACTTCCAAGATAACGGGCGTATGGAAACCAACCGCCGTCCACTCTTCTGCGTAGCTAGCTGCTACCAACATTGGATGATGCGCAAGATGGACAAGCAACGACGGTAGAAAAATCAGGGGGAAACGGAAGGCCATCTCAAAGAAAGAATGGAAAGAAAGCTTGAGGAAAGGTGTGTTTTTATAAGGAAAAAGGGAGAGAGAGAGAAGAACAATAAACCGAGAAAAACACATACCCAGAGCCTTTGATGGCGATTAACAAAACGTACAATGAGGATAATTCGCGCGCGGTACGGAAACGGAGCGCAGGCATGAGGATGATGAGATTTGGAAGACCCAAATGCTACTGCGGCATGGTCGATACGACGGAAGTGAGGATCAGAGGACGGATGTTGTTGGGTTCGCAGGACGATACGAAAGTATAGGTGCTCGGTAGAAATCGGTAGATCGATCAGGGTTCCACCTTTTTTGTTTTCTTTTTCGGAATATCGAGTAGCTCGTAACTCTCTCGTGCTTGTTTATGAGGCGTGTTTTTGTGTTCGTAGAGAATTCGGCCTAGGGCGGAGACGTGATCGTGATGCCGGGAGTCGATGGAAGGAGGTCGCCAGAGTAGGAAAGAAAGAGAAAAGGTGCTGGAGTGGGCGAGGTACAGATAGTAGGCGATGAGAACAGATGACGACAAAAGGCTGGCCTGGCTTTGATCTACTCCCGGCTGCCGGTCAAGTGGACAGGAAGGGGAAGCGTGGAAAAAGCAACGACAGCCTACACCTATGAGTAATAGGAGAGGAAGCGCGACAAATCAAATACCCTAGTCTGTGGAAAAGGAGAGGGAAGGTGGCGATGACAAAGGGTTCGGGCGAAGGCGAAGAAGTGCTTGAAGTGTGCTGGAAGCGGGAGTGGGAGTGGGACGGAGAATCTCGGCAGGCATGGCTCTGAGCGTGGGAAATGGGAAATGGGGAAATGGGAAATGGCCCACCGGAGTCGAGAATGTCGAGAACCAGAGACGTAACGCGGGTTGCTGGAACTCCACAGGGATGCGCAAAGCACAGAAAGTACGGGGTGGAAAAGTGGACTCGGAGCAGCTCCAGAGAAATTTTGCATCATCCACGCCAAGGACAGGGGACCTGGCCACTAAAGAGCCAACAGTTAAACCACGCCAATCTTGGGTTTGTGGGTCAGGGCCTGGTGTTGAAGGGCCTGAAGGGCCTCGACTCCCCGACGATGTGGGCAGCGACAGAACGGACGGGTCTTGGCGTCCCACAAGAGTATGTACCTGGAAGGAAGCAGTACTGTATTAAAATAGTGCTGACATACTGTATGGAGCATATACGGTACGAAATGCTAAAGCGGCTGGTCTGTGTACGTCGCACAGTGCGTATAGTAATATACATATATACCTGTAGTGTACAGTGTAATTTGGAACTCGAATGCCTTTCGTGGTGCCAAGGGAAATCCTTTCCAGAGTACGACGCTCGGGTTGTTTGACGGGATAATAATAACGGCCTGGTACCCAGAAAAATTCTTATACCAAATACAAATTGCAGGGGTTCAATCACCTAGGAGATATCAGGAGTCTGGATGTATAACGTACGGATCAGAGGGGGGATAATTAAGTATTCCCCGTTGTAGAACCCCCTTTGGACGAATGCAAATGGTCAGGTGCGGAAAAGAGAACCGAAAGCGTCGCACACCACACTTCGAGATACTATGCCCTTCTTCGTACAACGTAATTACTAGGTACTTCCTAAGTTAAGTGAGATATAGCGGATACGGCAGTCGATCCACTTAATCCTCCATCTCCATACACGTACAGCCCCCACACCTGGGGAAACCGAGACACTTGGGGGCGTGTATTGACCAGCTGAGGTCAACAACCTCCGCTATGTTTTACATTTTTGGTATGGCATGCAGTAACACGCTGCTTTATATATATACGTACATCTCCTTTATTGAGACACTTGGGTGATCAGCAACCAAGCGGAGCGATTCCTGGGGAATGAATTGGGTGAGGACGGCTGAAGTGATGCTGTACTCACTCCATAGGTCATGGAGGAACTTTGTTTTTAATAGTTTTCAATTACAGGTCTCCGGCGATTTCCCCCTCGGTTTCCACCCCCGTTATACCCTCTAGTCTATTCCGCTGTCCGCTGTCCAATGTACCGTAACTGACACTATGGCAACAGTACGATGGTTTTTTTTTTTTTTTGCTGTCCCCTGAACCTCGGGCATCCCCTCTCTGGAAAGATTTGGCTTCCGATCCGGTCCCCCTGAATGAACATTCGGAGTACTCCGTCATGTCCGTGTCCCAACTCTATCGAGTCGTTCATGACCGTCTCGGTGCGGGCAGGAGGGAAAAGGCAGGGAAGGGTGCAGGTGTCGGTTATCTTGGCGAGACGTACGATCGTTTCCCCCCATTCTCCCCAAGGGCCTGGAACGTGTGCCTCGGCGTAGCATCCGAGCGGTCCAGGGACCCGGATGATAGAGGTCATAACAATGATAGGTATGGACCAAATCAATCAGAGAGCATCATCTCCGCCATTCACTGGGGCAACTTGAGATGTATGCACGGATACGGAGTATGCAAGATGTACGGTAATCACGAAGTACGGCGTAGGTACGGGGTACGGGGTATGGAGTACTAAGGTCAGGTAGTTCGCATTCGAAGCTCGACCGAGCCCCTTAAAAGCCCACCTTCCCTCCCCCCTCGAGATGATACGAGCTCTAATGACATATATGACGGGCAGAAGCAGCCTCGAACACGCAAAATACCGCCTTTTCCCTTTCCGTTGAGAAATTCTTCCTGCAAAACTCCTTCGTACGGACCATACACGTGTACATCCCGACTGTCTAAGGTACCTAGCAAGGTCGTCATTGACTCCGCCCAGCTTAGTCTTTGCGAATCCGCGGGTGTACGAGATAAGATGTAGTGTTATATCCTCCGCGACGTACCTATCATGTAGGTAGTACCTAAGGTACCTAAGCCATTGCTCGATTCAGGGTTGGAGACTAATCAAGGTAATTAAGGACAGTATATCCGTCGACTTTCCACTTCGATTTGTGCATGAGTAGCTTCACTGCCCAGTTGAACGATTCCAATCTTGATGCGAACGAACATCACCAACAAGTCTTTCTGAATGGATCAAGTCGAACGACGCATGCAGAGTACACCCCTTTCCAAGAGGGTTTCAAGGGACAGCGAGCACCTGCCCACCTTACCTTAGGTACCTACCTACCTAGGTACCTTAGGTAGACGCAAACGTGCCTACATACCTTATATATCATGCTATCTTTGCGGTTGGTGTCCCATCCCACAACGCAATGCACGCAAATACAATCGAACTTGATTCGAGGCATGAATCGAGGCCGAGAATGGAAGAAAGAACAAGGCCAGATCATATCTGGCGTTCATCGATGGAAGACGTAATTACCAGACCAGGTAGCGAGATAACCAGATAACATATGTAGGTTTCGTTGTATCGCAGATGTCAAGGAATGACGAGCAAAAGGTCTTATCTTGCATATCTCACCCCGCATCCATAACAGGCCAACAGATCGCAACTGGTCTCTCTCTCTCTCTCTCTCTCTCTCTCTCCCCCCCCCCCCCCCCCCTCTCTCCAACGCATTCCGTAACATTTAGCAAACCCCCGAATAATCGGTCGGTCTTCGCTAAGAAGCCGATTATACTAAAAACACACCGAAGAACGTTAACCTCGGGCCGGCCTGACGTGAGGACGAGGCCTCTTCTCAACGTCATCAGCCGCCGTCGGTCCTCTCCCGGTGAGACTGGCGGCGGTTGCGGTTTATTTCTGAAGGTTCTCCCAGGGTCGGAGACTAGCATGTCGGGCCCTGGCCAACGCAGAACTGGCTGCTTCTAGCGCATGGTAAAGTATCACCAATTTGTCATCCCACGAACTTGCGAAGGGACTGGGGCCGCTTCGAGAACGGCCAGGCCAAGGGTCAACAACTCCTCCTCCTCCTCCCCATCCCCAGCGCATGCTTTCCGGTCCCAGCTCAATCCACATCACTATCCTCTCCTGAGCCCCGTCTCCCACAAGCTAAGGGAGCGACATAGGAGACGCCAGGGGTGGGGAGCCGGAGAGGGGCAAATATTCGTCGTGTATTCCTTCATTATGTCCTCCTGTAAATGAACCGGTATGTAAGTAGTTAATCACAATGCGGACAAAGCAAGGCATTGGGACATGTTGCAGCAGAGGCACTAAAGGATGACCTTCACGGCCTAGAACCATTGCCCCGAGCATTTTTTTGCTTTATCTGGCAGCATGCAGGACGGCTACTTATCTACGTACTCCGTACAGCCGTGCGTGCAGTATCATGAAACCTGCAACTGCACATCAGAAGAGGAGACACATCGCCGATCCCAAGTCGTAAATATGTCTGCCGCATCAGCCCTCCCACTGTTTTCATCCAATTGTTCTAATCTTTTAGCGGTAGGACGAATCTGAGCCAGAATCTAGCCACGTGGGGTGAACCCGGTGCTCCCCGCTGTCCGGCAACAGACAAAACCTTGCAATCTGCCTGCTTGAAGTTTATTATTATTACCTTCCGTTCCCGGCATGGGGTACGGGGCTGTATGCACGAACTACAATGCATTGCATTTATGTACTCCGTAGCTGTTTCCGCCGATTTAAAATATCGCTATCCGTACGTACTCTTGATGGGATATCCGGACCTGGCCTACCAGCCGGTTATTGCTACTATTTCCTTGTTTTGTGCATTCAGAGTCTCTTTTGTGCGTGGGGTTGAGATGCTGATAACGTACACGTGTACTTCCAGGACATCTCATGGCTGTAAGGATACTCCGCTCGTATAAGATCGGCATCCTGTCAGAAATGGGGATCGACCGGAGCTATCGAACGGGGGAACTACCGGTCGACCAAGGCAGAATAAACCGTGGATACGATTTGCCATGGCTTTACGGAAAATATCTACTGTCACGGTCACGTCAGCTGTCCGGCAAAAGATCCCCTTATCTTAACTCTAGACGCCACGAACTAATTACGGGGTATCTACGCGGAGAGGAAGGGGCTGTCGCTATCGTAGCTGGTCAATCGGGTCAATCGATTATCATGACCATCTATCGCGTTGGCTCCAGCGCTGACTCATTACGAAGCGTTGGGCTCATTGCACATGAGATAAGGGGATGCGGCTCATGAGCTGTTGAAGTGCAGTTCCCTCCCAGGATATTTATCATCAAGCCCTCGTATCTCCACATCCTCACGAGGCGAGGCGAGGCGAGGCGATCTCTATCCCCATTTCCAGTTGAGCGGCTGAGCCTGAGCCTGGCCTGCCACGATTGCCATCTCAGAACTGACCCTCCGAACTGGCTAGAAATGTACTTGTTCCCTCATTTAACAAAGTAGTTGTCGGCAACGAGAACGGGTAACGGAGTGGTGTAACCTGCTCGGCCAAACGGGGGCACCAGGCCACGTCACCCAAGCACCAGCGCGCCAGTCGATAACTGCGGCTGACCATCTCACCGACGCATCGCGGTGTTCCCAGAACGAGATGGCCCGCGTCGTTGGTGGCAGCCGAGCTCGTGGGAGGCCGCTTCTTCGTCCCGGCTAGGGCGTTCTCGAACCTCGACTGTCCATCAAGAGTGAGGGGTCTCGACCACGTGCCCAGGACGGGGGCGCACAGGCCCATACACGAACTGCGGATTATTTGATCACCGTCGTTACTCGTAACCCTCAAAGGGCCTGGGGTTCGGACAAGAGACTGGGTGGTATTTGTTCCGTGCCGTTTCCTGCCAGCCGAACCGCCCGAAGGGCTAGCAAGACTTGGAGCTGAAGCTTGAGAATGCATTGTCCTCTCTCCTGTCCCGCATATCACCTACCTTGCTGACAGGTCGACCAACCCCGTCTGCAACCCGGCAGTTGTCTCTATGTTCCACCCGCTTGATAGAGTGCTAGCAGCCAGTGTTCTTCAGAATGGGTTGTGTTCCTATACACGGAGATGACTATCCGCAGGGTTGGACGAGGCCTAGCCGACGTCTCAATCAACCGAAAGGCAAGAATCAGGTAAAGCAGTGTCACGTCGATGCGTCTAAAGAGGAAAATAAACAAAGCGAGGCGAAAGGACGAGTCTATGAGACGGCCGTGATAAAGTACGTACTACGAAGTAATTCACTGCACTCCCACTCCAGCCATCTCTTTTTTTTTCTTTTTCTCCACCTTTCCCTTTCCCCTCCTTTCGTTTCATGGAAGTTGGGTGGGGGCACCTTGCTGGCGCGAGGGGCTTTCTGACATCGACACACATGAGAAGCGGCTAGTTGAGGTCGAGTCCCAGGCCGATGAGACGCCACCCTGCTCAATGACGTTTGGGATGCATTGAATGCAAAAAGTCCACATAACAAGTTGTTATCTAAAATAGCCGCTCTGTCAATGCGCCAAGTGCCAATGCAGCAACATGCCAGAAGGTGATGAGAAACATGATGAGAAACAAGCCGGATATGATTCCGGGACAGGGGTCCGTCTCGTTACGGCCCAGGGGCCTTTCCGCTACTCGATCCTGACAGCCCCTGGTGCAGCTCGAGCTCGAGCTCGCTGAAGCAAGGAGCATCTTGGAAAAGGAGATGATCGTCGATGCGCAGCGATATGAACTATTTTGCGAGTTTCATAGAGCACACCGTATCCATATCTTGGTCCTGCATGTTCTGGAAATGATAAGGATGTGATGCCAGGGATTGGAGCCGGAATTCCGTAATCAAGATGGTCGCTTTTTGTCGCGTTATAAATGAGCTGACACTGGTGTGCCAACTGAAGCAAGATAAAAATGTCAAAATATCCGGGCGGAAGGTCGGGGAGGGGGATCATCCCCTATCAGGTCGTTTCGCTAAAGGCAACCTCGGGGGGTAGGCGGAAGGAAGCGCAGAACATGCGCTTTTTCGGTGCGACGTCGCGTACGTTATGGATATGAACCTCGCCCTTGTTCTGCGCATCTCCCGGTACAAAGCGAACGCCGATCTGGTCAAAAATCCTCTGGCAAATGTCGTTGAGAGGCACTTCGTCGTCGCTCTTAACGGCGAAGCAGTGGACGTGTACCATGGGCAGTTTGACATCAGTATGTGGCTCGAATAGGTGCGCTAGTCCATGGTAGATGCCCCGGAAGCGATGGAGAAATTCGATGGCCGAAGCCGGGAGGTTCATGACGAAGTGGGAGATGGTCGGCGGAAGGGGGATTCGCTTGGGCTCTGGGGGCTGCTGACCGGCTGACTTGCTCCGGGAAACCTTGGGCTGGATAACGGCGCTGTCTCCTCGAACTGATGCGTCGTAGACGAGGCGACTGGCCTCTTGGATAAAATCTAGGCCATCTTTGTTGAACGCTCGCACATATTGATCAACCTGGGGGTGTCAGAGGAATGAATGGAATTTCCCAGCACAAATATGAGGGCATGAAGGGGGAGGAGTCTGAGAGTACCTTGTTTCTTTTGATGGCCTTCTCGAGATACCGATGGCTCTCTGGGTTCATGTCGTTGGCGAAGACGAATACCCCCCTTTTGCCAGAAGGGACGGCAAAAGGCCCGATCCCTGCCATGACATCGCAAACTACCTCCCCCGGTTGGAACATTTTAACGAGTCTCGAGTGCTCGGTTTCGAGCTTGCTGTTCCAGTACACCTTGGAGTAATCAAATGCGAACGTGCAGTCGTTCTCCTTGACCTCGACGTCCATGTCGTCGGGGCCTGCAAGGACCTCGTAGGCAAAGGTACGGAACTGAGACTCAGTACCGACGTTGTCCGTTTTGTTGATCACTGTCCGAATTTTGGGGTTCTTGTCCAGTATGACTTGTGCAATGATACTCTTGTAGGGGAGATATCGGTCCCTGAGATTCAGGTGAGCTGTCGAGTGGGATTTGTGAGCTGCAACCCAACCCTGCCTTGATGACTGATGGCGGGAGACCTACCGACATGCCCAGCTGTGTTGAAGCCCACGGGAATCTCATGGTGCATGTCCTCCGGGATTATGGACGACACAACATCCACTTTGAGCTCGAGTCAGCGGCTGCCCCAGAAGCAACGCAGGCTCAGAAACGGGATGGGGTGGCTCACGGTAGGTCCAATACTCATAGTCGAGATGAACGTCATACGGTACCACGGCCAAGTCTTTCAGATCAACACCTTCCCGCAATACGGGTCCCCAAGTTGAGGGAACTGCGCATGGTCTCTCTCGTCAGTACCTCAAAGTGACTCTACAATGGTGCCAGATGGAAGCGCTCTACTCACCATCCACCTTGGTGCCGGGGTTCAGGAGGAGACATTTTTTGCCCGGGGCCACGGGATCTGGGCGAATGGCGTCTAGCCGATCCCAATTTAGGAGCTCCTTCCCCTTCTCGAGCTGCTTGCGATACCGTGCGATATTCCGATTCTCATGGACAGTGGCGGCAGCGAGGTTCAGGGTTTTAGAAAACAGTGATTTGTCGAGAGTTGTTGACGCCCGGGCGAGAGGAGCCCGGAGTGTGAGCATAGTCTCGATGTTCTCGTTCTCAGTCTGAACAGAAGAGATAAGCGACTAACTAGCCCATATGCGCTGTCCGAGATTCTGGAGATGTCACACTCACTTCCATGATTATCCGTCCGAGCTTCGTAAAACTGTCAGGGGTTAGGTTTTGGGTGGTGACTCGATCCGACCCCGGACGAGGCTGAGAAATACCGACCTAGATACTTACCTAGTTAGGTAAAGACCGTGCACAGCCACTGTGGCTGCCGATGAACTGAGTGTGGCTTGTGCAAGGCTGCGCCGGGGATAGGGGACGGTGATGTCACCGACTTACTGCTCTTTTCACTCCCTTGCTGAGAAGCACTCTGGAGGCTCTAGGATACCAAGTGAATTACTCCGTACGTTCTTATATACATATACTAATCAGTTCAACTTTGTGTTCTTCGGCGTGGCCTGTCATACATGCAATTAGTTGCTCTGAGGGCTTCATTCTCTCGGGCTCATCAGAAATGATCAGATCCTCACAATGTCACAAAAGAGAACCCTACATGCCTTTTTCGCACCGGCAGCCAAGAAGGCACGCCTGAATGAAGACACGTCCAATGGACCCGTAAGATGAGCCACTGGCCTTAAAAAAGTCCCAATTGACAATATCTTGGTCTGACTCGGAGACGAAAGGAGAGACATTCCGACCATCGGCATTACCCTTGCCCTATCCTGGACGTACCTCAGTCTATGAGCAAAGCGATTGCATCGTTACCCGCACGGACGGGCAAGGTGATCAAAAACCAGCCCCATCTGGACCTCCTATACTTCGAGCCATATATACCCAGTGATCTCGCCAAAGACCTCTTTGCGTTCCTGCGGTCGGAGCTCCCCTTCTACCGGGTCGAGTACAAGATCAACAGAGGCGGCATCCAGACAGACGTCCGAACACCCAGGTGAACCCTCTCCACGAATCTCGACTCTCGACTCTCGACCCTGTCGGGGTTGCAAAAGCGTGTATACGTGCCCTAACGCACCTTGTAGGTACACGACCGTCTTCGGGATAGACGAGACAGCGCGCTTCGCGGAAGATGGCTCAGTCGTCGACGCCAAGTCGGGAGAACCGGTTCAAGATCGCCGGTACGATAGGTATCCACCCCGGCCGATCCCAGGGTGCCTAGACGAGCTGAGGAGGTCAACGGAGACGGCCACGGGATGTACCTTCAACTTTTGTCTCGTCAATTACTATGCCTCGGGAGCGGATAGCATCTCGTTCCACAGCGACGACGAGCGGTTCCTGGGACCGGAGCCAGCCATCGCGTCTTTCTCGCTCGGGGGGAAGAGGGATTTCGTCCTGAAACCCAAGCCAGTTCCGAAAGGACCCGACCCAGACCTTTCTCCCGTGGCAAAGACCCTCAAGTTCCCCCTGGCCAGCGGACACATGATCCTTATGCGTGGTCCAACACAGTCGAACTGGCTGCACTCCGTCCCTAAAAGGGGCGGCAGGAACCCGGAGGATGGGGGAAGAATCAATATCACGTTTCGGAAGGCTACAAGCAAGGATGGAACTGAGAATTACTATAACTACAATGTTGGAACCGGCCCAGTCTATAGATGGGATCGAGCATCGCGGCAGATGAGGGTATCAAGTAGTCCATGACAGTGAGGGGGACAACAACAGCGAGACAAGTTTGTCCGGCCGAAGACTGGAGGAAGCTTTCCGTTTCTGTATGCTGTGCTGTCGTGCTTCCAACGTTGTACCATGCAGACGAGATTTCCAGTAGCCCCTTTTGGAACTCTTTTGTTTTTACCTGCCCTTGCGGAACTGAGCGCTGGAAAACTTGCGCAGCGCCGAGATGAAGACCTGGTACCCGACCTCCTGGTTGTCCTTCAAACAGGAGATCTCTGTCAGCCGGATGGGCCAGGGAGGATAGCCGTCTAGCTCTACATGGGGTCCGAAAAGGACGAGCAGATCGGGTTCGGGCATGATGCCCTCGGACAGTTCGGCGTCGATGAGATCCAGACCAATGTCCTTGGGGGAGAGCTTGGCCTTCTGAGACATCTCGGTTAGCGTCCTCGTGAGATCAACCATGGAGTCGCGCCCGTCTTCGGCGGAGATGAAGTGGACGTTCAGATGACGCGGATCGGCGCGAGCAAAGTCTCCGACGGCGGGGGACTCGAGGATCTCGTCCCCGTGGGGCATGGAAATGGTCAAGGATGGCTGGTGACGGCCGAAATAAGAGCGGAACTTCTGCATGATGACTTGCTGAACTTGAGGGAGATATCTCTTGAAGAGTCCTGGAACAAATGCACCCCGTCAAAGCTTGTCAGTGACGTGGCCCCCTTTCTGATGATTTGGAAGGGACTAGAATGAAAATCGTGGCTCACCTGTCCTTTCATATATGGTCAACATGGGAATCTTGGCGCAGGTGCACCACACGGCCATCTCAGCAGCCTCATTGACGAGCCTTTCCAGCTCCGGCCCCTGTCTACCGGCCTGGTCAATCTTGAGAATGACGCTGATGTGTTTCGGTTTCTTCTTGAGCGCCGCCGTGTCCTTCTCGATGATGGCTGGGGTCCGGTGGTGATAGTAGGCGATGGAGCGTATGCGGTATAAGACGGTGTGCCAGGCCTGGCGTATTCTGATGTAGAGGGAGAAAATGCTGTGTATTATTGTGAAGATGAGCAGATGGAGTTTGTTTCGCAGGGCACGTCGTACTCCGAAGCGACCATTGCGCACCGGCCGGTGATCTGTCCATTTCTCGTCCTCTTCAAGCGACTCTTCTGGTAGGTACTCCTAACGGCGAGCGTCAGCAGTCGAGCTTGGCAGTGAAATTGAAGCAGAAGACGGGGGGAGTGTGCTGAGGTGGCTGTAGGAGCCAAGTCAGACGGCAGACGGACATGGATAATTTTCCTCTTATCATCATCGCTCAAAACCTCGTGCCTCGCAACCTCATCGGTCCGGTAGACTTTGCGATCCTTTAGGGTCAATGCCATGACGGACAGTCGTTCTTGACCAAGGGCAAAAGAGCAGGATGTTCGTTGGAGAGAGATGTCGTCAACCGGTTCGAGCGATCAGTCGAGAGGTCAATCAGTCGATAGGTCAATCAGTCAGTCAGTCTGTTGGTTGGTCGGTCGGGTCGGCTCGAAGACAACGTCGGCGTGCGAAGCAACTTGGCGATGCAGTAACAGACGGTCTGTACACTACAGAGAAGAACAAGAGACAGCCTCTCGCGTTGACCTCTTGTTCGAACGTCACTAGTTGTCGGGCCCTTTGCTATTTCGTGCTGCTGAGGTGACGCTGGGGAGAGTCGTCCGGAGCTTATGCAGGATGACGACGCGTTTACAAACCAGGCGAGACTCGGCGGTGTTGGCAAGCAACACTTGCTCATGCCTGCACGTTATTGCTCAGCACCGAACGGGCGCTCCCATAATAATTATGCGAAAAAGACAGGAAACGGGTGCCACATGTCATAGTGTCCACCGCCCCACCACCATTCCAACTATTCTGCGCCACAAACCCACATGAGCTTCCTTGGCACGATGCGGCTGAGGCTGAGGCTGAGGCTGAGGTACTCCGTACGTTGTACCTAACCTAAACACTGAACTGGAACCGTAAGGTACCTTATTATTAGTTGAGTGCTGAAACTCGCTAAAACAGCCTCCCCGTAGAGTCAATATTCCCCGCAGTGGCCACTGTACGAAGTACTTCGGACTACTGAGTTCAGTGCACCCGTGCTGGAGACCATAGTGGGGGACAGGACAGCCTCAAGATCCGCGCCAGAATGTGCGATTCCTATCTCTGCCATCAACAACAATGCCATGGTGTTTCCTACGCAGGAAACCCTAAAACCATGACAGTAAGCGCAACATTGACGACTAAACGACGACGATAACGAATACATTTGTTTTCTTCTTCTTCTTCTTCTTCTTCTTCTTCTTCTTCTGATTCTGAATCACACGCAGAGTCCAAACATCAACCTCATAGCGGGCGAGTCTTCAGCCTTACTCGACGGATGTAGACCTGGGCTCTGACCCTACGGTCAACGCCTTCCAGCTTCAACCTCCTCCATCGCATACCTCAGCGCCATTGACCGACCATGGATCGGACTGGGGCTGGGACTGGGGCTGGGACTGGGGCTGGGACTGGGGCTGGAGCTGCTGCCGCAGCCGGTGCTACCCCCGGAACCGCCTCTATATTTCCCAAGGGACCCAGCTTTACCTTTGATGACTTTTCCAGCAAGGACTTTATAGTCCGTGATTTCATCGACACGCTTACCGAGACTGCTATCCCTGCAAGCCGCCGGTCTGGACAGTCCCAACCAGCATTCGACCCAAAGCCGCTCATCCGTACATTTGAGAGTAAGGAACCCCAAGAGAACGAGAACCCCCCACCCTGAGCGAAAGAGATACGTCAGCAAGGAAAGAGGGATGAGGGAAACGTGAAAGAGTCAAGAAGGAAAGAAACAAATCTGACCAGAGTTGCCAACTTTTTTTTTTTTTTTTTTTTTCACTAGATGCGCTGGCCCAACTCGCTACCTTGTCCGAAGAATTACAAGAAAAAGAATCCGAGCTACTCTCCAACGTTCGACGAGCCGAGATACAACATGACCAAACCCTCGAAACTTTGGGTCACAAGCTCGACCAGTCCATGCAGTCCTTCGAGGCGTTGGATCTATCGCTGAACAACCCTGGCGACAACGCGGACCGAATCGGGGGGCACAATGGCACCGGCGGCGCAAACGTGGCGGTCCAAATAGGAGAAATGCTGGAAGAGCTCGACAAGAAGAGAAGACGGGCGCAGGACGCCAGCTTCTTGATTCAGTGCTGGACAGAAGTCAGCGAGACGGGGCGACTGACATCCCTGGAAGAGATACAACGACAAGGCGGAGCAGAGAACAAGGTCCGGTGTGCCGTCATCTCCCGCCAGCTGATGCGAATCAGTCAGCGGTTGGACACGCCCTCTTGGGCCGAGACCAAGACCGCTCGAGCGAACGGCCTCAGCAACGGCTCGACGGAGACGAACCACCGGACACATCATAATACGCGAGAGGTGATCGAGAAGTTCAGCGAGGGTCTGGAGCAGGAGCTGTTGCAGCAGTTCAACAACAGCTATCGGCGTCAAAACCTGGACGACATGAGGGAGTGCGCCAAAGTTCTCCAGGACTTCAACGGGGGTGCCAGCGTCATCGCCATCTTCGTCAACCAGCACCAGTTTTTCATCGACCGGGACCAGCTCATCCACGACGAGGTCACGACCGACAACGAAGTATGGGAACAGCTCGCCGACCCGGATTCGGACCCTCCAGGCGTGGAGCCCAGCCTGCAGTCTTTGGTCGACGAGGTCAAGATCGTCATGCAGGAGGAGTCGTTCATCATCAAGAGGGCGTTCCCGTATTACGAGACGGTCCTAATCAAGTTCATCCAGAGAGTATTCCAGCAGTCCATCCAGCAGCGGCTGGAACTAGTGCTAGAAAAGGCCAACACCGTTTCGTCCCTCGCCTTCCTGCGGTCCCTCCACTCATCCAGAGCCTACATCAGTGCGCTGGTGGAGGACCTCAAGTCGCACGGCCTGACCGAGTACCCGGAACCGGCATCTTCGCAAATCTCCCAGACCCTGGATCAGCAGATGGAGGAGCTGTTTGTGCCTTACCTCGTCGGCAATTCATACATCGACAGGGAGAAGAAGAGCTTGGAAGAAATGTACAACTCCCTTCTGTTCAAGTTCACCGCCTACCACGCCAAGCGGAAAAAGGCACCGACGGGCTTCATGGCCTCGCTCGCGCAGCAGAGCACCCAGCTCCTGTCCTCGGCCAAGGACGCCTACCTGGAGCGACTGAACTCGTCCGAGCTGACCCCGACGCAGAAAGCCATGATGCTCCGCGTGGCCGGACTGCAGGACAACCGCGACAACAAGCACGACGTCGAGGTGACCGAGGAAGACGGCCAGCTCAGCGTGCAGAACGCGAAGCGCATGATGAAGTGGCTGGCGGAAAGCGTCCGACGGACCCTGGAGCTGGGCTCGCCGGTCGAGACGCCCAAGGACGTGAACGTGCTGCTCCACCTCCTCCTGGCCACCATGGACCAAGTCTACATCGAGACGGGGCTCGACGCCGTGCTCGACCAGTCGACGTCCCTGGAACATTCCAAGACGGAACCCGACCTGAGCTTCCTCCCCTCGGTGCGCTCAGCCGTGACCATCGCCGCCATCATGGAACGCTTCATCACCACCGTGCTCATCAAGCTCGCCGAGCCCAACACCACCGTGCGCCGCAGCATGTCCGCGAAGACCCAGACGGCCATGGACGACATCGAGCGCAAGATCAACGGCGTCATGAAGAGCGCCGCCGACGTCCTCACCAACTGGGTCGCCCGCTGCCTCGCCTCCCACCAGAAGAAGCTCGACTTCCGCCCCCGCGACGCCGAGCTCGACACCCTCCAGACCGCCACCTGCCTGCAGGTCAGCACCTTCCTCGCCCGCGCCTCCCACCTCGTCGCCCAGGTCCTCGACGGGCCCAACCTGGAAGTTTTTGCGTCCGAGCTCGCCCTCGCCGTCCTCCTCCTGCTTTTCGAGCACTTCAAGAAGTTCCAGGTCAACGCCACCGGCGGCCTCATGGTCACCCAGGACATCTCCAAGTATGTCGCCAGCCTCAAGGACTTCGGGCCGCTGACCCGCGAGGTCGAGACTTCGGTCGAGCTCCTCACGGAGGTCGGCTCCCTCTTCATCGTCGGACCTGAGGCCCTGCGGGAGAAGGCTCGTACGCTTCCCGCCGCCGCTCCGTCCGCCTCTGCCGGCCTGGGCCGGAAACTGACCAAGGCCGACTTCCGGGCCTTCGTGCAGAGGCGGGACGATGCTAGCTCACCGGGAATCCAGGGCGTTCTAGCTGCGTTATGAGCGGAGTCACATGAGGGTTGAAGAGGAAGAAGGACGGGCATTGCGATGGAGGAAGGGGAATAAGAGGGAGAGAGAGACTTGGTTTAAGAAGGGCTGCCCAATTCAATCTGATAGGAGCTCGTGTAGTGGTATTACCTCTACGGTGGGAGATGTGGTTTTGGCGGCGAGTTCATGATACCACGTTTCTGTCTTGTATGGGCAAACCAGAAAAGGGGTTGAAGCCGAGAGTTGCACGCATACACGGATACATATGTATCCACGCCAAGTTGAGAAGGCAGCAGAGAACGGAAATGATATGCATGTGCTCTATTTTCTGTGTATCCCGACGGGTGATTGTGTTTGTCCAAGCAAATCCCACCCTCAATCTTACAGCAAGCCTCTCTCTCTCTCTATATATATTCGTCCCTGTCTCACCTTGACATGGTAATCCTACGTATCGTACATTATAAAATACAGTTGGAACTGTTCTTTTCAAGTTCGTCCACACATCACGCCGCCTCGTCCTCGACCCTCCTCACGTCTTCGTCGACCCTTTCCTCGGCGTCTGGGGCCTTCGGTGACTGCACCTCAATCTCCATAGTGACAACATTAACATCCGCAATCTCCACCTCGAGGACGTCGCCCACGGCCGCATCAGCCAGCCTAGCACCCAGTCCCATCCGCGTCAGCGGCAGCGTGGCCGGCAACTCGTGAAAATCGCGCAGCCGGCCCCGGATCCCGGTGGCAACCACATCGTCAACCTCGAGGGAGAAGGTGCGCGGCAGAGGCGCCTCGCCGAAGCGCCACGCGCGCAGCAGGGCCTGGAAGATCCACTGCGAGGGCCCGTCGCGGTTGTCGACTTCGCGGATCTGGCGCAGGCGGGCCTGCAGGGCGGGGAGCAAGGGCGCAAGGGTCGTGCGCGTCCAGGGGAGGAAGCGGGCCTCGGCGCAGTCGGTGCCGGCGAGGGAGGAGCCCGTCTGCCGCTCTTGGGCCAGGGCGGCGTGGATCTGCCAGTGGACCATGAGGTCGGTGTAGCGGCGGAGCGGGCTGGACGACTTGGTGTACGCGTCCAGGCCGGTGGAGTAGAAGGGCCCCGGGGTGGCGGAAAGTTCGGACGTTCCGATGAGGGTGAACAATTCCTGGCGGACGGACTGCGGGTAGGGCTTCCCGGCGGCTGTGAGAGGGTCGGCTACCTCGGCGCGTAGTTTCTCGAGCTGCGAGGCGTTACGCACCGCTTCCGGCTGCGTGCTGTACGGCACGGCGATGTTGCGAGACTGACACCACTTGGCGGCAATCTCGCCAGCTGTGTGCATCAGCGCCTCGACGAGCTGCTCTGACCGGCCGTAGGGTGACCGCCCAAACTTGATAAACGGATCTCCGCTCCAAGCTCGAGAAGCGTTCATATCCGTCGGATGCCTCTTCTCCGAGATGCCATGGAAGGACACAGTCGGCGAAGGCAGCCTCGCCTCCATTGGCGGTAGCTGGCCCTTCTCCCGGCGGCGGGACCTGAGAGCCTCTCCCAAACGGTCCAAAAGAAGCAGGTCGTCTTTGTCTTTTTGTGTAAGATCCTCTGCCTGGGCAATCTGCTTGATGGGTGGAGGCATCCCAGGCTCTTTTCCTACTGCGAAGAAGTGGCCGTCATCCTCCAGACCAAGGTCCTGTCCCTGCGCGGGAAGGACGCTCGACAGGCCCTCCTTGGTCATGTGGACGACGTTCCGAGCGATGCCCGGTTCAATTTTGTAATCCAGGAGTTGTCCATCTTCATTGACTTTCGCGCTGAACGTCAGGGTAGGCTTCTCGGGGTCCAGAGAGAAGGCTTGTTCAAGCTCTGGAGGAAGCATGGTCTCCGAATACCCGGCCAGGTAGAGACTGGAAGGAAGGGTTTGAAGCTGGTGCGCGAGCGGCGACATCGGGTCGATGCGTGAGGCTGGGTCTGCGATATGGACATGTATCCAGTACTCACCAGCCGAGTCAGTCCGTTCCAGAGAGAAGCCGTCGTCGACATCGGCCGTCTGCTCCGAATCCACACAGAAGATTTTGGCGTCGTCGCCCCAGTCTCTTCTAGCGCCTTCGGCGATGTCTGGGCGCAAAGACTTCTCAATATCAATGGGAGGGCGTTGCAGGCGACCATCCCGGGTAATCTCGACGTCGGGGAAGCGGTAGCCATAGCGCGCAGGTATGTCCCAGGGCGGTATCCAGCCGATCTCCTGGAGAAAAGTGACACCAGTCCAGTGCGCAACCCAGTCTGATTCTTTATACATCTGGGTTAACCGCAGGATGGTGGAAGCTAGGCTATCGACTTGGGACGACTTGGGAACGACCCGATGGCACGCCCAGAGTTCCATGAAGCGGATGTATTCCAAGTCGGCCTCTTCCCACTGCGGCAAATCCCCGAGCAAGGCGTCCCCTGGACCAATCATTCCGTGAGGTGTCCAGGGCCTGGTAGCCCGATTGGCCTGGATGGCCTTGCGCGCCCTTTTGATGAAGCGGCCGAGGTTGTTTTGTTCCCAGAGCGATTCGAATTGGGCTGACGACGGGCGCAGATAGGCCGCATCAATGAGCTTCCGTACCCTCTCCTCGACCTTCTCCAGAATGCGCTTGTCTTGAGAGGGGCGCACTTCGTAGATGTAGTTGCGCCTGTGCCACCTCACGTTCAGGGGACGGAACCCCCAGCCATCTCGTTGGAGCGCGAGGTGTACGGCGTAGAGGTTATGGGGCGAGAACTTGCCACCGGATTTCAGGAAGGCGGGAAGGATGCGCTCGGCAAGCTCCTCGAGGCTCATGTACTTGACCTTTGTCGGGTCGGCGACTTGCTCGCTGGCGCGTTCGATGAATTTGAGAGCGGACTGATAGAAAGTCACTGCGTCGGCGTAGAATTTGGTGAGTAGTTCCTGAAGCTCGGAAGCAGCTTCGAGGGCTTGAGGCGTCTGGACGTGCTGAAGAACATTTCGCGGCTTGGTGAACGGTTCGGCGGGGAGGATATCGACGAGGGGCTGGAGCTGGGCCGGGTCGACGTAGTTATTGACGGTGAAAACAGACGTAAGGCTTTGGTAGGGGAGCAGCTCGCCGGTGGCCATATAGAAGTAGTGGATGCCGTGATGCCTCCCGAGACAGATCCCCAGGACGGGAAGACGGCTTCCATCGAACCTGAGTGGTGTGGTGAGCAGGGGGATTCCGAGTTGGCGACTATCACACACGCCACACTGGATGGAAATAGGGTCGCCAACATACCTCGTTTCAATCAAATCTCCAGCTAATATACTCGAAGTCTGCCCTCGCAGGTCCGAGAGTACATCCCCATCGAACAGGTCGGGATTGGATTGTTGGCCGTGTGGCTCATCTGTGAAGGTGCGTGCCGTCTGGGAGCGGGTTAAGAAGTTGCCCCAGGACTGGCCGGCCGAAATGTCCTGTAGTACCTCTTCAGCCGGTAGAGGGTTTTCCTTCTCCCAAAGTCTCAGCCTATCTCGGATATTGAGACGCTGGCTTTCATCCAGGGGGTCATCGCGTATTGTCGATGTTGAGTTGGAGTCGACAGGGGTTTGACTTTGTTGAGATCGAGCAGCGTGGGTATTTGTGGTAGAGAAGGCCTAAGGTGCAAGCGTTAGGGGGTAAAGGTCAGCTTCAATATCTTGCGTATAACACTTAAGTAGGTGTACAGGTTAGACGTCGGTGAACACCTACACGTCGACTGTCGGAGAGAAGACCACTCGTGCCCGGCAGAGTACAAGGTCGCCGTCGGGACCGGAGGGCCTTGGCGGGGATGGCGGCATCAGTGCCTGCGGCGAGACATCTCCAACATATGTACGAATTCCGGGCAGTCCGAAGCATGATGATGGTGAGAAAGTAGTGGTCGCCCTATAAAGCAGGGGCTTACCCTTGCGACTCGGACTATCGGTCGTCCTGTCGGTGTGCTGTTGTGATGCGGCACTGTTCACAACCCGCATCCCAAAGACCAGTGGAAAAAATCTCGACCCGTGACGGTCGTCTATCGAATGCGAAACCGCTGAACGCGAAGTCACGTGATACCATTGCAGACGCCACACCCCGCTGGTCCTCGATGAGTCAGCCGAAGGACTCAAAAGTCCGAAGTACTTCGTACACGACCAAAGTAAATCCCTATCATGCCTTGATCACCACTTCATTCGTACCTGGTAAGAATCAACATCACATAACGGCGCCACAAGGATATGTACACACATAGAATCGCACCAAGACACCCGCCGTCGGACTTTGTTTTTCTCGTTTGACTGACATGACTTGAATATTCCACGCCAATGTAAAGGCCCTTCAAGACAGAAACACAATGATTCGGGGAAGACCATAAGGTAGGGACTATTGGGCCGGCGAGGTCGGAGGTCGTGATTTTCTGGGTAGGAAGCGCGCACACCGCCGGCGTACTTGAATATCGTGCCGCTCTCTCTTCGGTAAAGATGGAGCGGGGGGTATAAGGGGGCGGTCAGACTACCGCATACTCTCCGGTAAGACCAAGACATTGCTTCTGTCTGTCTGAGCCAATGGTCCAGTTACCCTGTAATTCCCCCCATGTGTCTTGCAAAGATGGTGCATGGTCGGATAAGACACGGAACAACATACATAGCACGCAAGGCTCGTTTCTTAACAGTCAAACATCGAGATGGGCAGAGGCGAAGAGTGGCAGAGGTCCGCTGTCAAAACTCGGCAAGACGACATGGGTTATTTACCGGCATGACGTACGTGTACTGGCACGAGATCGACCACTCTATGCGTATTTTCTTTTCTTGTTTTGTTTCCTTTGCACTTTATTGTGTCTCAGTTGAGTCAACTAGGCCCTGGATTGGACAGAGCAGCTTGCTTTGCCCCAAGATTCCACCGGAGAAACGGCGTTCCCTACATTTTCCTACATTTCTCAGTATATTCATCATCGATATCTCAGAACTCGACTTTGACCCCACCACACTCGCGAGACGCCTGCTTGACAAACCCTTGAAAACGTTCACGGTCTGGTAAATAACGGGCTTCTGCTCGCAAAGGACTAAGCGTAGGGCCAGGAGGAATCCGTGGCGGGGTGGGATGATCCAAATCCTGATGTAATGATTTACACTATATCTGCATGTTTCAGCCATCAAGTGGGCGAACTTCAATACAAGCCCGACTATTCATTCCCCCCC